CCCCCCCCCCCCCCCCCCCCCAAAACTTGAAAAATCTAGTGGTGTCAAATTCATCCAGACTCAAAATTTTGAAATCTAAGGCCTTATCGTTATTGCACTCCATAGGTTATGACAGGTGGCATGCACCCATATCTTATCGGAATCACGACTTTAATTATTTGTATGATGTGTAAGTTTTTTTTCTGAGCCCTTGATTTTTCTCTCTGGTTTTCTGCGAGCCTTAGATTTTTTTTCTTTCGTGCTGCCAAATTATTTACTCCTAATCTTTGCATTTTTCAAAACTTGGGAGTGTGACAGGAACAACAGTAACTTCTTTCGATATTTATTTTGGGTCAAGATATTTCATTAAATTAACCAATCTTTCACATCCCATGCTAGAAGACGTTGGACCACTTGAGACGCCTGACACAATTGGGTTTTTGTTCGAATTTAAAAGGAAATGGACTCATATCATGTGGGTCTTTCTGCACAATTGGGCTTTCCTTGTGTTACAAAATTCAACCCATTTGGGCTTCTTGATAATATAACTGAGGTTTTATTTTTTATTTTTAAAGTTGGGCTTTTGTATAATTCTAAATTAGCACGTAGGTAAAAGATCAAAATTCAGACACCCGCGAAAAGGAAATAAGTTAAGGTTGAAGGGTATGCTTGCAAAATCAAAAAGAAAGGCGACCGTATCTTCCAACATTCATCTCATGTCCTCCTTGAAATTCAGATGCTTGTCTGGTTGTGAATCTGTGACTGTGCTGGGACTACAAAACAAGTTATGGTGATTGGAGAGGTCTGCTTCAAATAGTTATTTTAATAAATGCTTTACTGTAGCGGGCCCCACATAAATAATTATAGCTTTAAGATCCGAGATTTTAACTTAGAGCACTTCCACCCATAGTGCCATGGCAAAAAACAAGAGCGAATAAGAACAGTTACTGCTCATATGAATAGTATTTACCCTAGTAATTTTTTTTGTGCTTTTCCATCCATTATCATGGCAACAAAAGGGCAATTACTATTTATATGATATTAATTTTATTTATATGTATGAAATTAATATATATAAAAATTGCTAGGTACGTATAAAAAAATTTCTGAATTTTTGGTAAATTTTTTTTCGATTTTTTATAAAAACATTTATTCACTGAGCTCAGCGCCCTCAGGCATTAGCTCGAGCTGATCTTGCCCAGGCTTGGTGAACCCCAGCTCTTTGTTTAGACTGGATGTCTCTGTTGGAACCACTTTTGGAGACCTAGGGGGCCTTTTGTCTGAGTTGAGCTCCTGCAATGGAACTACTCTTAGTAAAAATTGTTAAAAAAACATAAGGGTATGGATAATGTATGAGGTTGAGGTGACATTATCTCTTCAAGTAATGTGAGGTTGAGATGAACTTAAAGTGGTGAGGGGCAAGGTAGCGGGGTGTGAGGGGGTGTGAGGTTGATAAGTTTTTATTGTTTTATTTTTTATTTTTAGCTGGGTGTGTATCCATTCAAGAAGATAGTAGGGTTTTCTTATAAATTAAGAAAATTTAAATTAAAAATTGAGGTAAACTTAGAATATAGAATGACCAAAAAGAAGTGCAGAGTTTAAATAAAAAGACTCAACTTTTGAGCTAAATCATTTTTGGCAAAGAAGTATGCCATGTTTCCTGTTTTATTTTATGTTTGATTATGTATTAAAAGTTAGGCAACATCATAATTTATGTTTCTTAGGATGCCATGGCTACATAATAAAACCTAGTTTAGTTTAGAGTTGTAATTTCAAGTTTTTTTTTTTGGCTAGAGAGAGAAAACTGAGTGGGAAAGGTCTTTAAGCATAAACCCGCCTCCTCGTATTTTGATGGCAATTGCATGACACACGACTCTTTTCCAACGTGAGAAACACTTTCCCAGAGCCAAAGCAGCAGCAGAGGTAATTGTGTAGTTTGAAACTTTGACTCTTTGACCACCAATCAAGGTGTTGGTAACGCTTTGTAACAATCGCGTGGGTCGAAAGAGGCTTCCTTTTGCTAAAGAAATAACAGCTTCCAGTGCTTTGCAACCCACACAGCGTACAGAGTAAGTTGGTAAAGTTGTCACTTTTGCTCGCTCTCAGTGTCACTCTTTCTAGCTCTTTGGTACAGAGAGAGGCCACAGAGGCAGAGCATCTAGGCAAGTCTTGGGAGGTCGACAGAGGGAGACATGGGAGAAGGAAAGGGCTCAACTTTAGTGCACCTTCTGGTAATTGTTCTGAGCTTAGTGGCCTTTGGGTTCGCCATTGCTGCTGAGAGGCAAAGAAGTGTGGTAGGCCCTCTTTTCCTTGTTCATTATCTCTCTCCTTTCCTTTTCCAAATGTTTACAACTCCAATTGAAGTAGTGGCATTCTCCAGTCTTTGGTCTGTATCTTGATCACTGTTTTAGTGCCTAAATTTCATGATTCGGTGTTCTGTGTGTGATGTTTTGTTCTGATTGTGGTTTGTAATAGGTTAGGGTTTTTTAGGGTGTGTATGTGTATACGTTTGGTAATCAGTGCAATTTGAGATTGGGTTTGTTCACAATTTTTGAGTTAGGTTTGTTGCTTTTTTTTTCAAAAAGGAGTTAGTTTTGTTGCTGGATGATGAGTTTTATTGGATTGTGTTTTCCGGGTTTGGGGTTTTTCTTGCGTATACTATGCACAAACAATGATGCTGAATTTTACTCAATTACCAAAACAGCGCAATAAAGAACAGGAAGTTTTGCTGGTTCTTTTTATATCTTTGTTGATGAACAGGCGATAGAGTTTCTGATTTAATACTGAATTGCTACCACTAGAATCAAGAATGTTGCTTTTGTAATGCCTGTTGTTGGGTTCTTGTCCATTTCAAGATTAAATTGTTGTCATTGCCAATCTACGATCTTGTAGCATGCCAGAGATGATTTTATGAGAATTTTACCTGAGGTTCCTAGCTCATTCTTGTCACATATCCATATTTGAAATAGTGTAAAGTTTCTGGCCATAAATGAGTACGTAGCTCTAAAACTTGCTTCATCAGTCTTAATTAATTTTGATTCATGGCCCTAATTAGCTCTGTATATGGTTGCTTAATCTCTATACGTCACAAATTTAAACCATTAAGTGATCTATCATCTCCCATTCAATTGGACATAAACGAGAGGCAGGGGTTGTCCACAGAAGATTTCCATCACTTCCTGTTGGATTAGTTTTTTTGAGACTGTATAATTGTGTTTCAGGGATGACTTTTTAAACATTAAAATAGTGGTCTCTCTCTGGGAAGCAAAATTTGCGAAATAGAGAAGTTCATATAAAAAAACTGAGTTTAAAAGTTTGCTGCCTTTAGTATTTTGAGGCTTGATTCTTGTTTAAGTAGGGATACATGCCAATTGCATAAGGGTTCATTCATTAAGTATGATTTATCTTCATCGTCCAGCAATGTCAGAAGCCTTGCAATGGTAAAACCACATGGGGAATGGGACTACAATATGCTTGGTACCACTTAATTAATCAGTTTTCATCTATGATTGATCAAACCATTCAAATTTTATTGGAAGAGACCAGGTTCTATTTATAGGTCTCTTATTTTGTTTCGCAATAACTTAAGGAGAAAAAAAGTAGTGGAATGCTCGTTACTAAAATGGAAATAGAGATGGTTTAGCTCTACTTCGTTACTAAAATATATATATATGCATATATGCTTTATCAGTAGCATGATACTTCAATTTCTATCCAGTTAATGTTTGCTTACTCTCTTAGTCACTTATTGACATTTTGGATTCTTGGGTTGAATTTTGGTGCATATGATCAATTTTTTGTACCATTAATTTATAAAGAAACTTTATTTCCTGGCAGGGCCGAATAGAGAAAGATGATCGAACGAATGAAACTTACTGTGTGTATAATTCAGATGTTGCGACTGGTTATGGAGTAGGTGGTTTCTTGTTTCTTCTCTCAGGCGAATCACTCCTCATGGGTATCACAAAGTGCATGTGTTTTGGGAGACCCTTAGCCCCTGGTGGGAATCGAGCTTGGTCTATTATATATTTTGTTTCATCATGGTGAGCATCCAATGTGCCTTGAGGATCCCCATCTTAAACAGGGCAACATTTTAATATCAACCCCTTGATTGTGTTAACTTGCCCATATTCTGCTAAGATCCAATTGATTATGCATCATATTTTGCTCTGAGCTTTATGATAGATTTACAAATTGTATTTTTGGTATCTGCATTTGTGGCCTTTTCTTTTGTTTTCTTTGCTTAGAAAAATTTGCTAACCTTTTCCCTATTGTCAACCTGTTGCAAATGGTATGCTGCTGCACCAGGTGTAGACGACTTATCACATGTAATCATAGAATATGATATAGGGCCTCCGCTTTGATTGAAGATATTATTCAGCTAACTGGTAAGTTCATCTTTAAAATTTGCTGCATTTTATGTATCTGCAGGACAACTTTTCTGGTGGCGGAAGCTTGTCTAATTGCTGGTGCCACAAAAAATGCCTATCACACTAAGTACCGGGGAATGATATATGCTCAGAACTTCTCCTGTGAAGCTTTACGAAAAGGTGTTTTCATTTCTGGAGCGGTATTTGTGGTTGTGACTATGATTCTCAACGTTTATTACTACATGTACTTCACCAAGGCAACTACAACTCAGGCAGCTCATAAAGCAAATCGTTCGAGCTCAACTGTCGGGATGGCTGGGTATGCATAGGATCCACTAATGAGACCAGATAGGTTCCAGGTTTTTGCATCTTGGTGTTATGTATGGGATGCCTATGTGATAGCATACTTAAAAGTGTATCATTACGTTGGTTTTGTCTAAAGAGATGTATAAGTACCTGTATGAATGCTGCTTGCAAAGGCAAGATGCAGAATTAGAAGTTTTGGTGGTTGACAACTCCCTTTGAAATTCAACTTTGTATTGGCTATTTTACTTTGTTTTTAATTTTTAGATCAAACTATTTTACTAAAAAGATTGGAATGAGAATGGCAGGGCATATAATATTGTGTATGGTATAGATGCATGGATGGATTGACCATTTGAGAAATGGACTTGCAAATATGAGCTCATCATCACTACGAGGAGGACCATTGCTTTCATGAACCTCTGGTGACCCATAATCCCTGAAAGTCAGTCCGACTAATTGTTGACCAGAAACTGGTCGGCAAAATACATGCTAGCCTGCCTAACCACACACCATTCAGTCACTACTAGATAATACTGAGTTGGTTATAACTATCATTTTAAGACAATTCTGTGCACGTCATTAGATTCTAATATTCATATGTTGTTGGAGTTGTACCTTCAATCGAAATTTACAGTGTTTGATTGATGGATAAAATATGTGGGGGAGTTGCTATGAATAATTAACTGCTCTATGATCAAATACGAAAAAGAGCAGCAGGTGGCATTCAATGTTTGAGAGAGAGAGAGAGAGAGAGAGAGAGAGAAGAAAATAGGGGAATTAAATAGTAGTGTTAGCTACTAGGTGACTAAGGCCAAGAAGAAAATGGCAAATCTAATAAAAGACGGGTAAGAGAAGTAGAGGGTGGTAGGAGTAGAAAATGGCAAATGGAAGAGTAAAGGGTGGGCAGGACAAGAGGAGGATAAAGTCCAAGCAGAAGCTAAAAGTTGTCAACTTTATTGGCTGCAGGGGGGGAGGGGTCAGATTTCAGATAGGCTAGGTTTTGGTTCCTTTTTATCTTTTTTCAGCCACAAAACAAAACCCACTTTTGTTAACCTCTTTCTTTCTAGGAGGAGAGAGATGAGCAAGCAAAGACCACCCCAGATTATTCAAACTCTGATTTGATTCACTAGCTAGTCTCGTGTGACTTCCCTTCCCTTTCCTTCCCATGGTCAAAACATTGTACCTCACGCTCCTCTTCTTCAACAAACATACATAAATTTACCAATACGGCCTGCAAATTTTATCTGTCCAGGATTAATAATTCGAATTTACAGTACCAAGTACCATTCAAAAGTTAAATGTTACTTTCTCAAGTTCCGTCAGAAGTTCAACATGGACGTGACAATTCCTGACCAGTCGTGCCTTTTCTATAAATTCAGCAAAGAACACTGATTTGGACTTTCTCTTTTTTTGACATTTTCCCCTTTCTGGGTAAGAAAATATTTCTTACCACCCTTATTAACCCCAAGGATATCAGTTTTTCGAGTACATTATAGTTATAGATAAGAGAGAAGTGTTTGATTAAGTTTGGTTTAATAATTGAGTCAGTGATGCATGTCCTAACGTGCAACTTGGCCTTGGTGGTTAGGCAATCTGTGTGTCCTCATGGGTCCTTCACCAATTTTCTTAAACAGTATGAAACTTGTATTTTTGTTTAACCAATTCCATATTTTTATTTTTCGAAGGGACCCCATTGATTTTGGTCTTGCATCCTTCGTCACTACCAAGTGAAATGATGAGTTGATGTATCATGTATATATATAATCATGAACACATGTCAAACATCAGAGTGCCATGATTTATTTAGATAAGGTGGTCTGTGCTTTGAGCCTATTTGTTCCATTGTTAGCTGAATTTAACATATTCTTTTGGGGTTTTGTCAATCAGATTTGGAGCTAAACCATAAGCTGTGTCCCCTCCATGCCCATTAAGCTCACCTAATACACACCAAGACATGAAACAACCCAGTTGACTTCACTTTAATTGTCCCCCCTTATTTGCAATAAATACTCAGGTCACCCACCAACAAAAACATCACAGCTAATGACAACTACATCATACATGCCATTGCCAGAATGCCATTGCCATGAATATGTATGAATATCATCAGATGCCACAATACTTGTGAGGAGGGAGGGAGGGAGGGAGGGAGGAGAATTTGGTCTTCATTCAAGGAGCTCACAAGATTGCATCAAATTTGACAACTAATTAATTATATATAATTCATTAAAGAGAGGTTAATTAAGATGTACGGGAGTTATTGATACACGTTTCCTTTCCTTGTTAACGTACGACTCTCAAACACAAATGTCTCCAGTCCAACACCGTGGCGGGATTCCCGGCCCTTCTTCTCCTCCTCGGCAGTCCCATGTTTCTCTCTCAGAATGACTTATTCTCATCATAAGTACTATTTCTTTCTTTATTCAAATTCCAACCCATAAATACCTAAAACACTTATATATTTATTTACAGTAAGTGACTAAATATATATATATATGTATAATATTAATAGGAGAGTGTAATTCACCGCTAATGTCATGGCGCCTCTCGCTCTCAAAGTCTCTAGCATAGCATGCTTCAGTCACAGTGTGGTTCCTTTGGCTCGCAAGCCCACCTAAGATTTTATGCATAGTTACATAAAGACTAGACCCTCATAAAGGCGCGTGTGCCCTTTTTGTTTTACTTTTATCTTTTCATTTTGTAATTTTGACTCTTACAGCGTCACCGACATGCAGATTTCTAACGTAATGCCTTGCTAATCATATACGTATACGCTTCACCTACAAAATTTGCTGTTACTTTCTTTTACACATTTGTTTATTCAAACACCCATTTGTTTTTTTGAAAATTTTAAAAAAACAGAGTATATTATAGTTAGATTAAAATACAGAGAGCATAGACATAGACTGCTGCTATTTTCTCTTCACGTGGACCAGTGTGGGGGCATATGAGGCTCCATCTCTCTCTCTCTCTTTCTTCCTCTCTCTTATACATAGAATAGCCGTCAATCCGTTGCTCATAAGTCATAGCCTCGAGAGACAGGCAGATAGAGAGAGAGAGAGAGAGAGAGAGAGAGAGAGAAAGAGAGAGATAGAGGGAGATAAAACTCAAAACTTGATATTGTCAACAGTCAACACGAACAGCTCATCAAATTCTCTTTAGAAAAGATAGTGGGTTGGTGATTTGAAGAAAGAGGCAGGGGCAGAGGCAGAGCTTAATTTATGTAGCTGGGTATTCCGGTTATGTCTATCGCCGGCGGCTGGAGGCTTTTGCACTCTTCTCTGGTTGTGATTTTGGTCATTTCTGTGTTACAGATTTGGGTCTGCTGTGACTGCAAAGCAGGCGCAATACGGGTTTTCCCAGGACACACTAATGTATTATCAAAGGTGGAGGCAGAGAGCAGCAACACGATGCAGAGCAAGAGCAACAGAAGCAGAGAGGCCCTGTTCCATAAGTACTTCGGTGGCAGTGTCAGAGCTTCTAACTTCAACAAAACAGAGCAAGGGTATGAAGACAGCAAACGAAGAGTGCCCAGTTGCCCAGATCAACTCCACAACTAGTAAAATTATTTATTTTCTCTCTTCTTTTCTTGGGAAATTTTGTTGAATTATAACCAAAATACCCACGTTTTTCTCATTATGTCTCTGGAATTTTGATGGCTTTTTTCTTGCTTCTGTAATTCATGAAGTGGGAAAACCGGGGGTATTTTGGTTGTTATCCTATAATTAATCCTAGTTTAATTAATCTCTTTAGATTTATGGAGGATCCAGAAATGGACAATGATGATCATGGATCATGATGTGCAGTGTACAGAGAGAAGTTGAGAAATTTGGTTTTGCAGTGACCAGCTTATATTTTGTACTACCTGCTATAGCTAGAATCTCCGTATCTACAACTTTTCAAGATCCTCTCTTTCGTTTTTTAGCTTTTGCTTTTGGGATCAGAAGATCGAATATCATATGAAGAAGAGTGTGGCAGAAAATTTGCAACTTTACACACAGAGATTCTTGCTTTCCCACTGCAACAATACAAACACCTTTTTTTTAATTTTTTCTAAACTTTTGCAAGGAATGTTTGCTACTAGTGTGGCATCTTCCTTGCGTGAATGAACAAAAGTGAAGGCTCCTGTTTTGGTGAAAGCTTTCTTAATCTCAATATTATTCTGCCATTATTGAATGACGCAGTAAGCAATCAGTCTGTGGTTTGTTTGCCCTTTCTGATGATATATCATAAAGTATAGTCTGTGTCTTTGGCGTATGTGGTAAGTTTTCCTCTGATTATATTTATAGGATTTCGTTCCTGTCCTATTTCTTTAACTGGTAAAAAAAATTTGAATCTTCCATGACTGTCCTCTCCTCTTTCAGAAAGCTTAAAGCTAGTTTAACCAATAAAATTTTAAATTTTACACCGTCATCATTGTATAATATTTGATTCGATGCCTTTCTAGTCTCGTGTAACATTGATAGTCAAATTGTCTGAATAATTGCTGGACCTGGCTATGGTTTTAAGGCCATGAGCCGTTGACTCTTCCATTAGTCTTTAACAATGAAACAGGGCATAATTAAATTAAACTAAAAAAACCCAGCAAGTGCTTTTCAACTCTGTAGCTTTTTCAGAAAGTGTTTTTCAAATTGAAATGAGACAGATATTTATGGAGATTAGTGTGTTGTTGTTTAATCTGTGATGCATGAGTGAGTGGGATTTGTAAAACGTGGGATTCATCCAAATATACATAAAACAGAGATATCATCATTAAAATGTTAAAAAGGAACTCTTGTGGGTTGAATGCTGGATGTTGGATGGACTCTAGCCTTTGTAAAGTAGCGTCATACAGAAAGTTTGTGATATTCGGCTTTGTGATTTTCTTGCAAAAGGGTTTTTGTCTGGTTGTACGAGAAGTGCATGCAGACAAAGGTCACAAAGTTTGCCATCGAGGGGTGGTGCACAGAGAAAAAACAGAGGTATGGGCAATGGGCATAGCCCCCTGTTCTGTTGTTTGAGTAAAATGAGTAGTAAACTTACTTATGGGTAATTTTTTATGACTTGATTTGATGATATTAATTGAAATTCTTCGATTTTATAGTGCATGTTGTTTGCATATGGGGCTTAAAGTTGGCAAACAAATGTAAATGTTTTGTCTCGTATTCTGGTATTTTTGGGTGTTTATAAGGCGAGGCAGAGAGGCAGAGAGGCAGAGGCAGAGAAACCAATGCGAGAAACGCCACGTATTATGCGGCGAAGATGGGTAGCCAAGCCATTGGGTAGGATTGGTTTTTGATTCGTAAGGCGGGTTATTTTGTCTGCTAGCTTTTTGGATGTGGAATCTAATTCACCCTCCCTCCCTCCCTCATCATCATTCGTTCATCAATGCCGATTTAGCTCATCGATGCATCCATTTCTTCCTTTCCGTTTAGTCATGCTATGCTTTTGTGTTTTGTTTTTCTTGGGCCCAAAATCAAATACCAACCCAAGTAAAAACGAGTTGGATTGTTGCAATTGGATTAATTAGTCAAGATGGTGAGTTTTAAGTTGGAATTCCCTTTTTCTCGTAGATATTCTTAATTATGATGATAAAGTAAAGTTTCAATGGTTGAGCTAATTGGTATGTACGAAAAATGCACATGGGCGGGGGTGGCAAGCTGGGCCAGCCAGCCTAAGGTGGGATTGGCTTAACCACGTTGCCGTCCAACAATAATTCACCAATTTGGTTTCTACTTAAATATCTTTGTCAGGAAACTCAGCATTATACATATAAAACAAGTAAGATTCGAATGACTGGTTGGATGTTTGAATACCTAAAATCTATCTAACCTTCCAATTTTACTAGTCTTTAAGTAAGCTAGTATTCTGCTCTTGGGCTTGGGCCTCAACTCAGCTGAAGTTAAAGCTTCGCCGTAGGCTAGGAGGAGAGCATCGTATAAATTTAAAGAGCCCAATCCAGTAAACAAATAAACTATACGGGCTTAAATGCATAGGACTTATCAACTCAGCCCATATTTATATTTTGTCGCGAGCATAGATTCATTTAGCCAAAAACTGCACCCACATCATCAATGTAAAATATATATATATAAAGCTAAAGGCAGAGAATGGTGAAACATTCTAAATATCAAAAAATACCTTTGGTTATTTCTGTTTGTACCATAACTAACCCTCCACTCATCCAGTGACACGTGGACTAGAGAAACTCCCCAAGTGCCCAAGGCTCCGAACAATCAGCATCGGCTACCGATGATATTGTCTTAAAGCAGCAAACGGTCCCTACAGGCCCAGCATAGTCTACAATCGGTATCCCTTACCGATTCTGTAGAATCAACCTCGAAGCACCCGCCCGAAATAACTATGGACTCGTGTCAACCTCATAGGGCCCTCCCACGAGTTCCACATCGAAATTAAGTACTAAGAGCATACAAAATGCCCTCTATAAATAGGCCCCTTCACTACAATACAGGGGTAAGACTTTTTCAGCTTGACTTTGATACTAATATATTGTCAACAGTAAAAGCTCTTAGAAAACAAACTTACTCAGGCATCGGAGGATCTTAGGCTGGTTACACACCGGTTCCATAGACCTTATGAGTCTCGGCTTCCTTCTATTCAGGATCAGCGTCCAAAGAACAGGAAGGATCCGCGTCCAACACACAATCGATCCCGAGATCGTCCACATCACTTGTAAGTTGCACTCATCTCTATCTGTTCAGTTTTTAGTGCAAACAATTTCAAACATTAAGAATTGAAATTATTAATTAAGTGAGGATAATATGATAATTTTTTTTTTCATATTAAAAAAATTAAAATTCCTACTTTTATGGAACATAACTACCCACGTTATCTTTTCTTATTTTTTTTATAAAAAAAAAAAACCAATTGGCACATGCGTGCTAATTAGGACATTAAAACAATAAATTTTTACGTAACTTTGAAGAGGACATAAATTGATTCATTTAAGTTATTTAGGTCGATAAGGATAATACTTCTCTCTTTGCTCGTAAGGAGGAACTCATCATTACCACGAAATAACACTTGTCCTTTTCTTTAAAAAATTCTCAAAGGTGCATTTATTTTTACTTTAATTATTCTTAACAGGAGAGACACATGTCAAATTATGACTATGCCACATCAATAGGTAATTCCGGGAGGTAATCAGTAAAATGATGGAAGCAATAATAGAAATAAGTCCAAGATAGTGCAGGATAACCAGGAGAGTATCTGAGCTTCTTTACTTCTACGTAGCCCAATTCCCAATTACCAATCATGCCGTATGCGCCAGTTAGCTCGCACGCTGTAACTTTCACATTCGCAGCTCGTGCGTGTCACGTGCCATTTTTAATGCACGTGTCACTTACCTCTTGTTCCTTCTTTTTCTTTTTCTCCCCCAAAACATTTACACTAACTTGCATGCCTTCCACCTTTCCTCTGCCTGTTGTCTTGTTCTTTGACTGCAAACATTTTGACCTTCTGTTACCACCAAAATTACACAGGTGCGTATTCAATGGGATAATAAAAATAATGCCCAATAATAAAGGGAAAATATTATACCAAAAATATATATAAATAAAGAAAAAGAATGTTCGCTCTGCCATACCACAATAAAATTAGGTGATTAAAAGGGATGTTTATCGTGCTTGATTAAAAGCATCCACAATTGGTTATCTAAATTAACTCATTAGATAAATTTTAGGGAGGAATTGTAAAAATATAACTCTAACCATGCTCCCTATCCACCTCCTAAAATAGAGAGATTCTTAGGAGCTCCTAAATCTGAGAAAAGGGAAAGGACTTCTAGTGGCTCCCTATAATTTAATACTGCTTTATTTTATGAGTATTTTAAACATTTAATTAATGTTAATTATTTTATATATATATATATATATATATATATATATATATATTTTTTTTTTAT